CCCGTTCCCGGAAGTTGTCCTGTATGCCTACGCGGCTGATCGCACACCCTTTCCCACATATGTATGCCTGCCTTCAGGATTGTACAAGGCGCGCACTGGGCAAGTTGTGGCGCAGACCGGCCCAGAGCAGGAAATCCTGCCTTTGCCAGGTATCTACTTCTTTGATGGATGGCGGGTATACCCAACGCTACCAATCTCCGGCCACCTGCCACGCACTAAAGAGGCGCCAGTCCAAGATATCGCTCTGACTGCACCTGCACCTGGTACAGAACCTACTCGGTCGCCGGAAGAAGAAGCGAGAGACATCCTTGCGACAGCTGCTAAGAATCAGGCCGAAGATGGGCCAAACACAAGGAGGGCAGCAGTCCGCGCATGCAAGTACTTAAGGGCTATGGTCAACCAATATGAGTCCACCATACAAGAAGTGCATAAAGCGGCCCGCATCCACACACAAATGGGCAAGGGCACAGCAGGGGCAACTGCAGATTATCGACCACAAGGAGGGGCTCTCCCAGTTATATCCCCAGAACTAACTTCAGAGTTACTGCATTGCTTGTCCACGCTACCCGACCCATGGCCCCTGGCTAAGATCACGATCGATATGGAGAAACCAAGCCAGTGGGTTTCCAAATTGTGCCGACTCTACTTTGCTGACGAATATGCCAGGCGAACAGTCGGACTGCCCTCGCCTACACATGTCCCAGACATTGAGGCAGCGCTCCAGGCGGTCCAGGAAATCCTCCCAAAGCTTGAAGCAAGGATGGTTGAATTTCTGGCCGAATGGTTAGTCACCTTTTTGATACCAGCAACGCACGTATTGGAAGTGAGGGCACCTCATCTTTCCTTTATGTTGCTCAAAGAATACTGGTTTAGAGAACTATACCTCGGCCTAAAAGTCACAGCATCGTTTGACCGCTCCGAATCATACACGCGAGTCATAGATGGTCAAGTGAGATGCATCACACCTGAAATTAAGCCACAGAACCTGCAGGTCATCTGGAATGTTCAGTTTATCACTGTTTTTGTGCCGGCATGGATGATCCCTCCTGTCTACCACAGCCTGCGCAGGGAAAGCATCAAGAACGCAAGTTCTGCCAGTGCAATAGGTGTCCAGTCGGTCCGCCCCACCTGGTTTGAAGACATTGCGGCGCCCCCAGTACCCAAAGAGACCACGCCTCAACCAAACCAAGGTCCTCGATGGCAGCAGCCCCAACCGCTACACGGTCTTAAGTTAGTCATCAAGGAAGAGGTGCTACCGATGAAAGGCCAACCGGAATTCCCAGCACTTGCATTGCTGGCCGCGCGTGGTTTACTCGCACCAGATACATGGAAGTGTAAACGTGCGCAGGTTAGCCTCAAGGCAACAATTGATGTCCCTATGCTAGGCACAATCATCGAGCAAAATGGTGATGGACTTCTTGAAGACTCCCACATGCCAGTAGGATGGCCACTGCACATCGACGGTGCCGTCAGACAATGTTGTATTCACCGATCTGCGTCCCACCAAGAACTGGATGACATGCTGAAAGAATATGACATGAAAAGAGATTCAGTTGAAATAAACCATGACGCACCCCAATGGTCTCACAACGCAGTATGGAACAGAAGGTACATGGAACCGAAGACAGGATACACGCTGCGGCAACTCTGGGCTGATTCCGAGCCGGCCATTGGGCAGAAATCTTCCCCTTCTTATGAAGTCAAAGATGGTGACATTTCACGTGCAGTAGCCGCTATCACAAACCTGCCGTCTTCCACGCTGCCTGACAGTCCCTTCATCCGTGCATTGGGGACACCGGCAGCTCACAAGGCCCCACCACAAACTGGCACCCTGGCGCAAAGAGCCCTGGAGGAATGGGAACGCACCCTGTGTGAAACAAGGCGGTGGCGATCCTTGCACAGATGCAAGCCGGCCGACCAGCCCTGATCCAGAAAGACGGCGGCGAAATGCTCATTGCCATTGTCCTTGATAGGCCACTGGCGGAAGCGAAGGCACTAGTGGACGACCCTGCAGCTTTCACTCGCGAAATGACTAGGATTCTGATTGCAAAGCAAAGCCATCCACTTATCGCCCAAATGATGAGGCCAGCAGGAAGTGGTGACCCACCCCCCGCAAATAGCACAGCCAGTGGCACCGGCAGCCACGAACACCCTAGCGCCAGTCAGCCCGTGCAGTTCCAGTAGTCTCATGCGGCCAACGTGGGGTACCCACGGTTGCCACACATGACAGGGAACCACGGTTCAGACAGGTGTTGATAGGTGCTGTCACCATGGGGTACCCATGGTTGACCACTGCCTAGTGTAGCTGACGAGGTGGTAAGCTTGCCTGTGTAAGTATGGGAAGGGAGGAAGGGGGAATGGGATTATAGTAACCTTTTTAAGGGGCCTCTACTTAATTTTTTTTCTGGTAGCGTAGGACGATGTCAAAGTACATCAAGCCATGGAACCCGTTGCCGTTTGACATTACTTCAACCAACATACTGACCGGCCATATATGATTTCCAAACGGACGTCCCCATGCCTTTGCTCCGATGAGTTGACAACACTGCGATTGATGGATGGACCGCCCAGCTGCTCTACGCCTGCAAAACACCCTGCGTGCAGTTTAGCCTTGTAGTATGGCCCGGCCGACTCCAATGAAAGATGCTGCTGTCAATCGCCTAGCAAAGTCAATTACTCAACTGACCCTGTGTCAGGTCACTACCAGTGAGGTAGATGCTGCCACCAAACTGCTCGACAAGGCATGTCAGAAGCTTCAAGGTATCCAAAATATCCCATCCCAGAGGGTCACTGACCTCGAAGCTGCCATACGCCAACTCCGCCAAATTAGCTGTATCTTAGATAGTTGTACAATCTCTGCCAGCTACGAAGTAAGCCAAGCGCAGAAAGCCATACTGCTACTGCCACATACAGCTAAAGGGGCAAGCACGTCATCGGAAGAGCTTAATGCACAGATATCACGACGCACTGATGATGAGCACAATCTCCCATGAAGACAACTTGCAAGAGCACTAGCGCACTGGAACTTACCGCAAACCGCAGCTCCCATGATGCTGATGCTAGGAAAAGAACTACTGAGCGGACTCTGAGTGCGCCCTGAGTGCCGTAGCTTTTGCTGTCATTTTCACACTAGACCATGTCTCACCCTCCTGTTTCACCGTTCTCTCTCTTCTCGCCACTTTCGTTGCGACCCGTCGTTGTCGGTGTTTGCTTCGAAGTGTCAGGGTGAATGTCATGCCTGGACGGCTGCTCTTTGTGATCTCGGGGATCCTGGATCCCCCTGGTTTCTGCATTGAGCTTTTTTGCTTACACCCTCTGATTTGGCCCCTGGTGTTTTTGTGGTGGTTCTCTGTTTTGCTTCTTGTTAGGGGCCCTTATCATCATGACACACAAGATGTCATCATGCATGAATCCCCATTGCTGGTAGCGATCCCACTTCTTGGTTTTCTTTTGATTGTTTTGTTTTTGCTTGGTTTGCTGGTTTTTTGTTGCTGGTTTTTTGTTTTGTTTGTTTGTTTTCTTGTGTTTGCTTGTTTGTGTTTGTGGTTTGTTTTGTGTTTTTGGTTTTCTTGCTGGGATTGCATACTGGACTGCGTACAGGTCCATTACCAGTACTTTTGTGGCTATCGACAATTGACAGCCTTGCACGATAATCTTAATGCTTTCACGTAGTGATCGCGGTGTCTAAGGTAGGTCAGCGGAGATACGCAGCGTAAGCCCCATCGACTAACACCCTGAACCTAGCAGGGTGATCAAACCAAATAACTATAATAGATAAAGTCGCGTACAACGTAAGTATATCAATATACATACAGGGACGCACGAGCTAAAGCTACGCGAACCTGCGTAAACTATCTTAACACAAACACCGGAATCAAGAAAAACTTGATCTGAATCCAATCAAACTATTTCATTTATTTATTTTACAGATTCTCACGCACATGTCAAACAAACAGACGTTTTGGAAACAAACCAGCCAATATTTTTGAACGTCAGTTTGCATGTGTTTTTATCCTTGGACACACCATCAATCAAATAACGGTGAAGCCGTCCACATTCAAGGATTTTCTCAGTGGGGTTCATGGTCAATCCAACTGCCCGGGGGCGCGTCCTTTTGCGCTCTCCTATTGCGTTTGTGCCTCGACAATCGCCTGTATTTCCTTGGACCGCTTGCCTCATTTCAGTGACTTCAGGATTCATTGCAGGCATTGCTGTAATTTTAACCTGGATTTTTTCCTTGGAGTGACAGGTGAACGCACAGACGTCCATTTCAACGTCGGCAGTCTTTGATTGACAACCCTCAATTCCATTTCATTTTGACTGGCAGTGGTAGTGCATATCAACTCCCACACATCATTTACTGTTTTTTGCAAGACCCTGCGACCGTCTGGAGCTTGGCGCTTTTTGCAGTCAACTTGAGTCGTGTCACAGTCAAGTGGCATCATTTTTCGTGCAGCTAGTTCTGATGATGGAGCCGCATTCTAATTCGCAGTCGTCCCAGACGCAGGGGGTCACAAACAAGACGCCTGGAGCAAGCCTCAGATTTCAATTTTGCTGCAGCCGATTTTGGAGTGGAAAATGAAACCTCAGGAGATCATGACGACAGTTTTCTTGCAAGCGGTTTTGAAATTCCCACCGTTTTGGAGCAACCAGGTCAGTGTCAAACCACGCCACATGAACTTCCAGGTGCCAGAGGTTTCAGAGCAAGATGGAAGGCCAAGTCCCAGGCCAAGCATGACGGCCTATCGACGGTTGACATCATGTCGCAGTCCCAGCCTGACTCTCAGTCTGTAGGAGGATGGGAAGTTTTGCCTTCAGATATCAAACGTCAGAAACTGACAGATGCCGCTATGGTCAATGCAAAGATCACCAATGAAAAAGCTGAAAGACGCATCACGTAGGACGCCTTGCCAGTCTTGAAGCAATGCAGAGGTTCAGGACTCATGACATTAAGATGCCTTGGGAAAAAGGCCCCTTGGCGCCAGTTTTTTGGCGCCCCGATGCCGGCCCTACCAGCAGCCAAGACCTTAGCACCTCCAATTGTAGGCCTGATGGACACCTTGGCTCCAACAGTCCTGGCCAGTGAAGGATCAACGGTACCAATTGGGCCCATTTCGAAATTTGCATTCAAGCGCATTGCAGCAGCCAAATGTGTTGTTCCGGAGGATGAGATGCTTGCCAGGTGCCTCAACCAGATAAAAAGCTTGTTGCTGATGGATTTACAGGGCACAGAAGTTGGTGTCAAGCTTTGCAATTTAGCTGGAGGACTGGATGAGGGTGCAGACGTTTTGCAGATTCTCAGAGATTGCTTTGCCAGAAAAGCCACTGCTACAGTGCTCAAAAGGACATCATCACTGTGGGCTCTTGCAGGGTGGATGGTGGACAGCAATCAAACCACGATATGGTCCATGACAGAACAACAGCTTTATGACTTCATGTGCACACTGAGGGAGCAACACGCAGCTCCTACCCGAGCCAGTCACCTTCTGGAGGCGTCAACTTTTTTTGACAATGCGTTGAAATTCAGAAAGATGGTCTGCAAAGATTTGCTTTCATCGAGAGTTGTGGGTGCTGCTCATTCAATGTACCTGGAAAAGAGGAAGTTGAAGCAGGCTCCACAATTGACCGTGGCAGCAGTGAAAGCCCTGGAAATCGTGTGTGTCAGCAATACGAGCTTGTTGAGGACGGCAGTTGCGGGAGCTTTGCTGTTTTGCGTATTTGCCTCAGCACGATGGTCAGATTTCTCACGACTGGAAAACATCTGGACAGATCGATGTGGAGACTTGGTTTTGGTAGAAGCTGAGACCTCGAAGCACAAGACGTCCAAGAGCAAAGAAGCGAAAACCCGGCTACTCCCTTTCACAGCGTTGGGACGCTTTTGCTGTGAGGAAGTATGGGGTGAATGTTTTGTGGAAGCGCTGAACGCCATCAAAGAGAACACAGGCCTGCCCTTTCTGCCCAGCTGGAACGACAGGAGCGGGACTTGGGCCATCTCCCCAATGACCACAGCCGAAGCATCCTTATTTCTGAAGAAATTTTTGGAGACCGTGCTGGGCGAAGAGGAAGCTGCAAAGTACAGCTCCCACTCATGTAAGCCTACTGTGCTTACGTGGTGTGGCATGACTGAAGTGTTAACAAGGGAAGAACGTACTATGTTGGGGCACCATGTTGAACCCACGACCAAGTCAGCCACCACCTACAACCGAGACTCGCAGTTGCTTTTGCAAGCCAAGGTAGCGAGAGTTCTGGACATGGTCACAGGAGGGCTATTGGAGCCTGATGCAAGCAGGGCCACAAGGTTGAGCAAGCTGATCCATGTGGAAGGGATCCATCAGGATAATGAGGATGTGTCGGCAGAGTCCGATTTCGAGGACACAGAGGCGGCCTCAATCCACTCAAGGGGCCATGTGATGAGCAGACCCGATGTGCCACTCGGGACACCAGACGAATACGATTTTGTTGCACACAAGCTCACTGGAACGATTCATATACTACAAGAGGAAAGTTCTGGTAAGTTGGCATGCGGTCGACGCAAGACCATTAACATGGAGCCGGTGGAGCCTGATGCGATCGATGCAGCAACGGCCCCTTTTTGCATCCAGTGCAATGCAGTGGTGAAACATCACCAGTCTTAGCACGAACCAAAAGAGAGACTTTGAAATGCCCCGCAGAGAAAAAACTTCTTGAATGAGGGGGAAGCAGTGCACTGAATAATAATCATAACCCCCCTTGGGCTCATACAATAACCCTAAGACGCCATCTATATCCATTAGAGGACCCGAGGGATCGAGAACTTACATATTACAGTGGGGGCATACACATTTGAGACCGCATTCATACGCACATCAAATGCCAGCCTATTTCAAAGATCAATAAAGGACATCGTGACTCTACTTCTCAGAAGAAAACAAGACCCAAGAACACGATCACAATGGGGAATGGAATAACGCCTTTCTTTACTTAGCTACCATGCCATGCTAATGGTAACAAGTCCATGACAAGAAGGATTGCAAGTGTTGTAAACACGGGAGTGAGGTATACCATGTTCTGCCGTAGAGCCACATGAGGTGAGAGGCGGCACCAAATACCGGGATACTCAAACTCGGTAATCAGCCAGCCACTCAGCCATCTCAGCGTGGCTCAATCGAGACAGGCAGGGCGACAACTCACCAGGGAATCGATGCCAAGAATACATAATAGGCAGACCCGATCTTTTAAAATACATAATAGACAAACTGAGGGCCTTGGAATTTCAGACTCAAGAGCCTCTCAGTCCAATGAGATTTTAAGGAACCCATGTAATAGTAACCCAATCACACAACAACTTTTTCTTTGCAATTGGAACGCGGCGTCCAACCCTGATGGCGCTGGATAGCAAAGCTGCGTTTCAGCAAAGGGCATCTCAAATTGAGATCCCTGTGCCAGAGGTAGATGCCCTTGAACTAGCAGGCATCGACACCTTTGCCAAATATGCATTTTGCAGTGAATATCAACCTGGAGGATCAGACGAAAAGCCCTTGGTGAACTTCCTGGAGGCGACGTTAGGTCAGATCCCCAATGGTGAGATGTTGTCAAAATACAGACGCCTATTCTTTGAGAGCCATGCTCTTTGTTTGCAAGACTTGAGACAGAAGGTTGAGCGTACAGAGCACTCAGAGGCAAAAGTGCTGCCGCTGGCAGAGAAGGTCGAGAGGATCAGCCAGATCAAAGCAAGACTTCCAGGCTTGCTTATCACGCAGCAGCTAGAGCCTTCACACCAACTGGTGGACAAAGCCGTGCAGCAATGGGAAGAGAACAGCATCCGATACATCGAGCTAGGAGCATGCACCAGTAGGGAGCAGGAAGTCCTAGCCGAAAAGAGCGTACCAAGCCTGACCTTTGACACGACAGGCAACATCAAGGTTACCAAAAAGCAGGAGCTAGCGCAGTGTTCTTTGACAGGCGATCTGAAGTTGCGGACCGCAATGCAGAGAAGGGCTCTGGCGTACGACATGGCGGGCATAGCCTCCTTCTTGGTCCTGGAAAAGTGGGCCAACTTGCTTTTTGAGAAGTTGCAACAAGAACCGCCGCATGGGTACAAATACGTGTCGCATGACCAGCTGCTAAGGGCTGACAAGGCCTTGTGGTTGAAGGTGGCCGAAGAGACCCGGGCCCAAGTGCAAGGCAATGGTTTGAGGAAACCAGTGGATGATGCAATTGAGAAATGGTCACTGCATGCAGAGGTACAGTATCACATCATGCCTATGCCGAGTGCGACTCAAAGCGCAGCAACACCTAGGCCAGCAACAGGTGCAACTTCTACCACAACAAAGCCTGTGGTGAAAGACTACGAGAACCAGTCAAGCAAAGGCAAAGGCAAGGGCAAACAGAAGGGGAAGATCACAGTACCCGAGAACTGCGAGATCAAGTTTGGAGAAAACCAGAAACCCATCTGCATGAAGTACAACATCGGTATTTGCAGAGGAAACGTTAAGCCTGGCAAAAGGTGCCAATATGGCTTCCACGTGTGCTGGAAGAAACAGTGCCATAAGCCTCACTCCGCTGTGGAGCGTACAACAATCTAAAACCCAGCAATGGAAGGTCCAGTTTCACCGTGCAACGATAATTCAATTATTTTGTGGAGCTCTTCTCTGGATCAGGGCAGCTTTCGGCGGCAATGAAAAAGGGGAGCTTTGATATTTTTCCAGTGGACCACAGGGTCAACTCGCATAAGACGGCAGTAGCGACAACCAGCCTCAATTTACAAGAGACCAAAAAGCAGAAGTTCATGAGGAGCATGCTTTTACAGGCAAAGCCTACAGCTAGCCACCTTAGACTCCCGTGTGGAACATGCAGCAAACCTAAGGATAGACCACCGCCAGCGCTCCCTAAACAGCAGCTTCCAGACCCTCCTCCGTGAGGGATAAACACAACTTGGTGGGATCCCGCATTTGAGGGGCGCCCAGACCATCAAAGTGCAAACAGGTAAGGATCTGTATGAATAGGGGGTTAGACTGCTTTAGTTGTGTTACCAAAGCGCTCACATCTCACTTACAGGGGCAAACCACCGAGATGAGCAAAAAACAGCCGAAGCAACAGTGCAACCTAAGGGTGCGAGAGGTCCTGAACTCAAACCGTTTGGCACCTTGGGAAACCCTTTTCGGAGGTGCCAACCTCCCTGACATGGAGATTGTTGAAGTCGTAAAGAGAGGAGCTGACCTAACAGGTGAGCCTACGGTATCTCCCCCTCTTTCCTTTTGACTGGAAGCCTGCAGTAGCAGAACGAGAGGAGCTGCGGGCTTCGAACCTTTGGAGACGTAAAACCTTACAAACAGTAGCAGAACGAGAGGAGCTGCGGGCTTCGAACCTTTGGAGACGTAAAACCTTACAAACAAAAACCCCTTGTGAATGAGGCTACTATGGAAGGAGTCAACTTGGGACACCTCGCTGGTCCCCTCACTGAAGCCTAAGTGGACCAGAGGTGGAAAAAATATATGGCTCTTCACCAAAAGTTTTGCCTCGCACCGGGAGACACCTGAGAATCCCAGAGTGAGTTTCATAGACGACTGCAAGCGCAGTGGGCTCAACAGTGCATACACCACAATCTATAAGCTGGAGCTGCTGGATGTAAATGTGCTGACCCGGGCGCCCATGGCTATAGCAGGTGCCCACTTCACTAACTTGGTAGACCTTAGAGCAACTGAAACTGGGAGACTAGCCGGACCCATGCAAGCGGTAGCAAAAACTTCGGCATGGCGGGGTAGAATGTCGAGCCTCAGCAAAGCCTACAAGAAGGTACCCTTACATGCAGAAGCCCAAGCGATGTGCATCTTCGGTTACTACCACCAGGGCGAGTGGGAGCAACACACCACCTCCAGGCTCCCCTTTTTTGACACAACCTCGGCAGCGTACACCTTTGATAAAATAAGTAGGTCTACACACCATATACTCTACCCCTCCATCCACATAGTCTGCACATGCCCCTGCGGCGACTTCCCAGTGCTTAGCACCACTTTTGGGGCAGCCTTGGTCTCCAAATCCATGAGCGTAGTTCTGGACCTGCCGTGATGGGAACATGCGCAGATTGGTATCAAAGGCACAGACTTGGCAAGCGAGTGCTCAGCTGTGGATATAACGGTTATGCTTCAAGAGCTGCTCTGTGGAGAGACTGGTTTTACAACAGAGGTGTTACGCAAGGCTGGA